GAAAACTGCCTGTAGTTCTATTTTGCAGCCACTAGCTGGCAGGGCAAACAAGAACCAGTAGAAACTAAGGGGCTTCTTGGCAATTGCCTGACATGCTGAGGCAGGGAGGCCCCCCTTACAAGTGGTTTGTCCCCTGCCTTGCTCTGCATCTAACTCCCTCATTATGGAGCAGCACACTATTCCATCATCTCACATGGTTTTTGCCATAATCCTTATACTTTCTGCAATGCTATCATTTCCTTACATGTTTGTCCGTCTCCCTTGATAAAATGTGAGCTCCAGGAGAGCTGGGATCGTTTTGTTCACAGCTGCATCTGCCAACCTTAAAATGAAGCAAGCCCACAGTAGGTTGCTACAGTGTGTTTGTTGAGTGAATAAATGATGTGCCTGATGAATGAATGTGACCTCTGAGACATGCTAAGAGGCTGGATCTCCTTCTCTGGTGTTTCTGCTTCCAACGGTGCATCTACTGTGAACGGACGATTTGCACTTAGCATGGTGTCCAGAACACGAGCAAAGTGCTGAACTCTGTGGTTTGGTTTCTGTCTTTGAAATATCTGAGCCCTGAAGAGCAGGAAGCAAGAAGTCCTCTGGGTCTAAATAGCTGGGTTTGGGTTTAAAATTAAAATCAGCAGGCATAAATCTGCTCTTGGGCTTCTCTGATGGCCCCTGAAGTGTGTCCATCCCTATTAGCTCCAGGAAAGACAAATGACTCACGTACAAGTGAAGCTGTAAATTCTAGCACAATGAGGTTGCTTTAGATAAATCACCATTTGCAATGAATCAACACAAAGATTTTGTTGGGCTTGTGCAGATGCCCTGTATGTTACATCTGGACATAACCAGTAGCGGGGCTAGGATTCGGGAGAGGACCGTGAGGCCGGGTCTCACAAGAGCAAGGACACGGGGCCCCTCCTCCTGTCTCCAAAGCCACCCATGGCCTCCCTCTGCTCTCTACTACTGCGCTCACTTCTTCGGACTCTGAACCGCCCATCTCCCTCTTTCACTTGTAAGGACCTCTGTGATTCCAAGGCTCTCCCAGATAATCCAGAATCAATTCCTCATCTCAAGATCTTCAAATGAATCACATCTGCAAAGTCCCTCTGGCCATGTAAGAGACGATATTCATAGGTTCCAGGGATTAGGATGTGGTGGTGGTGGGGGGTGCGCACTATTCAGTCTAGGACAATGCTGATCTTAGCCTACAGTTAAGAGAGAATGGAGAAGAAAACTCATGGTCTGGTGCCTGCTCCCAAGAAGCCTAATTAGCTTTGAGGACCACCTCATGTGAAGGGCCACACGCCACTGTTCTCAGGGCAGAGCCCTGCCCTGACTGCTCTGTTCCAGCCACTGGCTTGGGCTCTACATGCATCTGTTTATTTAAAATGAAGGGCACCCGATGAGCAACAGAGCCTTCCGGACAGAACACCAACAACACCAATAGGGTATCAGGCAGCTGCTGGCAAGGAGGGTGTTGAAGGGAGGGTGTTGAGGGGAGGCTGCCCTGCCCAATGGCCCCATTTGCCTGGAGACAGAGTAACCCCAGTGTGGTTTCCAGCCATAGCAGTCATCAAACCTGCAAAGAGCATAAGTAGGATCAAAGCTGTAAGTCACTGGGTGCAGCCCCCACTGACTTCCTCAAAGATGCAGGTGTGGGTGTGAAGGGCATGGCAGAGCTGCCAGGTTCCAGGAGCTCAGGTGTTTGTAGTTTGGGGCAGAAGAGGCTTTATCAACACCCAAGGGTCTGACAAAACTGTAAGATATCTGTAGGATATCTGAAGTGTGCATCATGATGATTTGATATCCCAATAAAATTGGGAAAAAATTCCCTCCTCCAGTACTAAATAACACTCCAGGTCCACCAGTTCATAAGGCAAAACATGCACACTTCCTTGTCCCATCTCCACGGGTCTTCAGCCCACACTGGGTCCTGTGTGAAGGCCAAGACCCCCTGCAGAAAGGCACTGGCAGTCGGCTTTGATCATTAGCGCACTACTGCTCTGAAGCTATCACTTAGTGACAGCCTCCAAGTTCCTCTTGGTGATTTCCCTGACGGAATTTCAATTGCAGTGTGAACAAGAGAAGCAGCCATACAGGTAAGCATTCTGGCTGCGGAGACAGGATTCCAGCTGGAGAGATGTGGATGATAAAGTACTGTTTAACATGCCTTCATAAGCAGAGCAAATGTTTTAACTTGCATAGATATAAATGGCCTGCTAATTCTCTTGACTTCAGGAACATATTGGGTTCAGAATGTAGAAAAATTAAAAGTTCTGGACCAAAAATGGAAAGGAAATAAGGTGGCATGATCAAACTTGTTCACTGGCCAACACGCTGTGCTCGGCAGTTTGGGCGGCCTGACAGCTCGGGCTTTCTGGGAGAACTCTGCACTCCTCATAATTCGGTTTCCTAAACAAATGCTACTTTGGTTCATGTCTGCATTTGTACCACCAAGCAAATTTATGCAGGAATATGAAGTATAAAAATTCATGTCTGGATCTGTCAAGATTTTTTAATTTTGTTGGCTATTAGCACTGCCAGACCTGGAGGAAGCAATTTTAGCATATTCACGAGTGCTTGTGGGAGGTATTTTGATTTCTTATAAGCTTCTCCTGTGACAACATGTGAGAGCCTTGTGCGAGTGGCTTCCACCTTCCGGTTGCTGGTCAGCCTCTTGGTGGGCAGAGTAAGGCCCCCAAAGATGTCCACATCCAGACTCCCGGGCGGCAGCTGTGTGGCCCTCCTATAGACGGTCTGCCCCTCACCGCCTGCCCTGGGGCCAGGTCAGACCCCTTCTCCCTGATACTGTGCCAGCACAAACTCAGCTTCAAGCATCACCTGTCCACAGTTGACTCCAAACTGGTGTCTCCAGCCCAAATAATGGGTCACTGGTCAAGCAGGAGGCCCTCCCAGATGCACTTGGGAAGTATTCTAGGTTTGGGCTCTGCAGGGAAGATTACTGATCAGTGATCTGAAGGGTCCAAAGAGGATTCAGATAGATTTATTTTCAAAAGTAATTAAAGCTGGCAGCTCACTGAGCACAAGGGAAGATTCAGAGAAAACCAAGTCTAGCGTGATGATCAGCCCATCCAACTCCAAAGCCCACTGCTGGGACCTAGAGGACAAGGGGCCGTCCCTGCATTACTCAGAAATACTACCACAGTCTGCTGCCTCCTCTTCTAACCTCTTTGCCGGGTCCCAAACCCACTAGAAGATCCACATGGCACAAGGGGGAAAAGCAGACATGGTCTCTGCTGGTCTTTACCATCCCAGAGCCGGCATGTGGGTTAAGTCCCTCCCTGCCTGGGTTTGCTCATCTGTCACCCTGACACTTCTCTCCCTCAGTGCTGGTTTTGAGGATTTGGCAAAGCATGCAAGACAGATGTAAACTCCCTGGCTCTGTGCTGGCCCCCTTTCCTTGGAGAACTGTCTTTTCACCAATGCGGAAATTAGCAAATGTTGATTTTTCACGTTGCTATGTAACCTCGCATCATGTAGCACTTCCCCCCTTCACTCTCTTAACATTTTGTTCTTTTCATTTATTTATTATGTCCTAATTCAACAAAGCACTTTTTATGCATTAATTCCTATAAAAGACCCTGTTTCTGAAAGAACAAGGTATAAAAGAACATTTAAAAATATCTGCTCAAATGGCATCATGCTACTGGAAAATGCCCTTGAATACTTGGCCTGTTTTAGTGATAGTGAATCACTTGGTGATACACACCACTTTGGGCTATTACAGTACTCCGCTCTCCCTCCCTGGGCTGTGCTTGTCAAGCGATGGGAGCATTCTGCACCGAGTGGAACAGTTTGCTAACACTGAAGATTATCCATTTTTACTGCCTGGAATTTAGAAGTGACCCAGGATTTCATACGGGTCCAGTGTAATTCTGAAAGGACCTGTTGTTTTGAAACTTTGCAGTGTTACATACAGAGCGTGATGCTGTTCCCATCTCCCCAGAAGAGGCCATCTCTGGCTATTAAGGGGGCAGGATGCTCCTGTGGCTCCTGGCAGTGGAATGCCTCTGCAACGAAGCAGGATGTGTGGATGGCAGCCGTCCTCGAATGGCAGCTGGGCTTCCTAGGTCCCTGTTGGGAATGAGGAGGGCCATAAACTCCTGTGAAAGGTTATCTTTGAAAAACTCTCTTTCAATCTGCCTGTGATATGTAGTCTTCAATGTAGAGAAGGTAGGTCCAAGTGTTCTCAAGGGTGTGTGCTGACTGCATTTAAGAGGCTGATATAAACAGGATGGGGACGCATGTCAAAGTTTTCAGGACAGGCACAGTTTTGAGAAATTTCTCACAACAGCAGAGTGGTTTTGCGTATTTATTTAAATACTGTTTAGTTTCATAGTGTGAACCTGATTACCCACTTCTTAATTCAGTTGAAAAATTAAATTTTGTCAGTCCTTTAACTAACTTCCTGGAGAGGTTTTCCTTAATAATGTTGAGGGTGGACCTAGCTCCATACTTGGATGGATCCGATGGGTGGCCCCCTCCCAGCCCCCAGCTCTGAGGGATGCCCATAGAGGGCCCAGGGGGCGGGCAAGGATCTGGCCCTTCTCTTCCTACCCCCATGTACCCAGGCACCAACATCTCTGTGTACAAGGTGGGGTCCAGAGTTCTCATCACCTGACCTTCTTTTTCCCCTTTCACGGCTACTGCCTTACAGAGACAATGTACTGACAGCAGGGGCTAGTAGTTTACATACACAACTCCACCAGTCAAGAGGATTTCCTTTTATTTTTCTAGTTTTTCTATAACTTGTATTATTAAAAAGAAAAAAAACAAGCAGAATTTTAGTGTTTGTTTTCTCCAAAAACAAAATTGAATTTCAACATAGTGGCACCCTTGGGGGGCCAAAGAGCTGAGTCAGGCACAGGTATTTTACCTTCCTTCTCATTCCTGACTCTGAAACTCTACACCTCTGATGTGACAGCTTATGAATCCTCATGGAACCTGTATGTGATAACTGTACACAAACCACACAGAGGTAGTTCAGAGGTCTCAAATTTGAGGTGCTTTTTATAATAAAGTTGCATCAGAACTACAGCAACAAAGAATAGTTTACTTAACAAAATTAGAATCCCACATACACATGAAATAACACAAAAGTCAGTGACTACCGAACAATGCAGGTCTGCCGTCCACCCTTCCAATTACCCTTTAGTATAGGAATTCTGCCGAAAAGCATATTTCCTTACACCCCCATGATCGTTCTCTAGTCCAGTGACACCCAAAATAAAACGAGGCATAAAGACTGACTAGGTGAGGTTTAAAATGCCCTCTAAGTTGTTTTGAAGTTTGAGTTAGACACACAGTCTTAGTTTTTGATGCATGTTCTTTCTTAATGAAAAAAAAAAAAGCACTGTCAATAGTTTAAAAAATAAGTATTTTCTGAAGCAGCAGATGAAATATGTTCAGTATCAGCCTATACCAAAGAACCTGGCAATGGCTAGATGTGTGGCTTGAAAGAAACCACAAACATGTCCTTTGTACAAAACCTTTGCAGCACTGACGGTACCTTCCTCTCTTAAAACATCTTCCAGTCTTCAATATAAGTAGATGTTAATCAAAGAGAAAAAAAAGTGAGATCATACGGGAAAGAAATTATAATACTTAAGAGTACCGGGATGCCAGCCAGCACATGTATGGTCTCCCAGGACTTTGTGATGTCCATTGTGGGTTTCCACCAGAGGAAACCGGCTGCAGAGTTAACAGAGGTCAGCACTGCTGAGAAGCCACAAGCTTCGCCTGCTCCAGGAGGGCCCAGCAAAACAGGAGATGGGTCATAGTAAGGCACTTACCTAGCTCATGTGGGCGGAGGGGAAGAGGAAACCAACCCAGGTATCATGCAAGTTTAAGACTGTCAGACATTTTATGGCAACTTGAAATCCTCCCCATTCTCAGTGCGTCCCCAGCCAGTTCCTGCCGTGAGCTGTCCGACTAACAGACCCAGCGTGGACTTCAGGAACATCAGGTCCTCCATCTGGCAGGCACTCCATTTGCTCTCGATCGCTGGCGGTCGTATTTCATAGAAACAACAAGGAAAAGCAGGAGGGTTGCTCCTTGAATAGCAGCCAGAAGGAAGAAGTAATAGTTCAAATAGCAGCCATTAATATTACCTAGAGAACGAAAAAAAAAGGAGGTTGTCAGCTATACTTGGATATGCTAAAAGATTTCATTGATTTGATTTGGTTCCTACTCCTAAGACTTTCAGCTGCGGTTGTAAAGAAACAACAGAAAAGAATATCTCTGTAATTCAAAATCCACGTGTTTTGTTTTCAAAGCAACTGCAAAAGTCACAGTGAAGTCAGATCTGTATCTAACATGAGCTCCCGGCTGGGGTCTCTGAAGTGACCCCAACTGCTCCTTAAACCCCAGCATCTTTCTTCCAGAAGATAAGAAGATGAGGTTCCCAAAGTGCTTGATGACAGCAGGTGCAGAGGCCCTGGGCATTCTCAGGGAAACCTGGGCATGGGGCTTCAGGGAAGCATGGAGTGGGGGAGAGGAAAGCACCCAGGAGATGCGCCAACCTCAGAAACACCAGCTGCAAGAGAAAAGACGTCAGGGACTCTTTATCTGTTAATCTTCCTGATACCTTACTGCTGCCAGAACCAAATGTTTGACAGCCGCTGTGTTTCCTGTGGGTATGTTGACCCCTCCACTGCTTCAAGGGAATTTTTCACGCAAAGACTGACACCCACCTGGCTATCTCCATGTCCTTCCTACAGCACAGGCTTTGTAACTTGGGTCTAGAATCTGTACACTTGTCCACACCATGTATCACCCAAGAACACATCCTGGAAATCACATCTGGTTATGAGTCCTGCATTTACTGCGCAGTTCACACTATCTGCCTTGCAGAGGAGAGGGCAGACGGCTGAACATACATTCCACATGCTACAGGAAGGCAGGAGTGTGTTTTTAAAGTTTTCCCTAAAAGTTACACAGGATACCCCTCAGAATAATGAGATACAGTTACTGGGACACCTCTCACAGGCCCATGGGCTGAGTGAAAGGCGGTCACAAAAGAGCTCAAAGACAGGCCCAAAGAGTGAGCAGAGCCATCCAAGCAGCTGTGGGGGCAGAGGGGGCAAAGAAAGGACACGAGGAAACCTTGCGAACCATTCTGCATTCTGGTCGGGATTACAAATATACCAAACCGTAACCATAAGGCCAGCATGCTTCCCAGTAAGCACACTGTTCCCAGTCCAAAACTGCACACAGTGGAGAGAGCAAGCCTGGGGGGGATGGGCAGAGAAGGAAACAATGGCATAGGATCTGCGGGCTTTTCCTCCTAACTGGAGTACTACAGCCTCCGGAAGCGTATGTCAGGGGTGTCAGCATCAGTCATGAACTGCCAGGCCGGCTGGCACCCCTGCTTCACTGCCAACCTGAACCTCACGGGGCCGAAGGGCAGAGGGGCTGGCAGGGCGGGGATGAGAAGGGAAGCACACGGAATCTGGGGTCACGTCTGCTGCTCCTTCTGTTGCAGCGAGGATTTGTGTTTGGTGGTAGGGTCACTGTGTCCCATCCTCCCAAACACCCACCTAACAGCCACTCACTCATGGGAGGGAGCTGACCGACTGTGGGCCCCCACTTTACCGCCTGTCTCACCATGCAGAACATGATGGCTGTGGGTAGACCGACTGAAGGTCCCCTTACTGGTGCAGAAACAGGAAGCATCTCCCCAAGCCGCTGGACATGGTGACGGTTCCCATGGAACACACCACAAAGCGTTTCCCATTAATGAAAATAAACCAACGAACAGGATCCACCTCCAGCACTGATATGGGGGCTGGATACATACAGGCTAGAGCGGGAACCCCACGTGGCAAGTTTAAAAAGACCTGTCAGAAATTAATGGTAACAGACAGGTAAACTTTGAGTCGCTAAATTAGTGATGAGGGTTAAATTACTGGAAAGCAATGAGGATGACCAAAACCAACCAATCCTCTATGATACATTTAAAAATAAAAATGGAGAAAGAGAATCCACATTTTGAGAATTACAGTCTCTGTGACAAGATTTTCTCTGAAGCAGGTCTGTCCTATGTACAGCAGTGGCTTATGTGACACCAAGAGCCCATGAGAATTCTCAGGACCTTTCTCCACAGGTTGTCTGTCCTCCAAGGGGCCCAGCGTAAAAACCAAAGCCCAGGCCTGAGCCTGCTGTGGGGAGGCTCAGACAGCTGGAGCACGTGAAGGACAGGGCCCCAGAGACGGCCGCGGTGGCTCCGGCTTCTAGAAGTCGCGTTAGGATTCCACAGACCTAAGTGCATCCCTCAGGACAGGAATTTCAATTCAGTCATGGAAGGGCTTTTGGAATCATGCAATTTCTGGAGAAAAGTCCCTAAACTTTCATCAATTTTCAAGGGGATTTATAACCCACAAGTGGCTAAGTACCAACGGATGCCAGCAAATGCTACATGGTTATACAAGAAAAGGTAACAAGGTTGTTTTTGTAGGTAAGATATAAAAGAAAAGAAAGGGAAGTCTTCATCTCTGGGTCCATTTAAAATCTATCATAAATCTGGAAACCGCAAAATATCTTCTGTGAGTGATTCTGTTCAACGCACCAAGATGCCACCTACTGGTATCAGCTGTAAAGTCCCATTATGGCTGATCAGGAGTAATAGCTGTTTATTCAAGAGAAGGCAACTTATTATCTATCCTTGTTTTTTTAATAGCAGAGAATTAAAAGGTACTGTTAGGAGAGGAAAAAGAAATATAAAACCAAGATAAGTAAAGGGAAACTTGTGACACAGATTTTATTTGCCTCATAAAAACAGCATTAGACATTAGGGGAGAAGGTGTCCTATCAATCAAAGATTCCGAGCAGGCAGCAAGACCCAGCAGTTGCTGGCCAGGGTGTGGCTGAGGCCCGTCTGGCCACTGGGACAGAAGGGAGGCTTACTTGTTACTCCAGAAAGTGTTAAGGATGTAAGGAAATAAATGACTCAAGTGGTCTATGCAGCCCAAGGAAGGGGTTGCCCCAGGGTGGCCCCACTCTGCTGCAACTGTGGCAGCCATTCACAAACTTCACCGCAGCCTTGGCACCTCTGGTTTCTGTCACTGGTCATTTTCAGAAAGACAGATGCTGCCCTTACCAAAGTCCTTGTGGTTGCTCATCCATCCAATAGCTTTAATGGACACCAGCGCCAATAGTCCTGAACCCACGAACGACCCAACGCCGGAGAAGAAGAAGAACAAGCCCATTATGGCGCTCTGCATGGACTTGGGGGCGGCCGAGTATGCAAACTCCAGACCTGTAAGAGGAGGGCAGTGGCTCAGTGAAGGGGGCACCGCACACCCACCTGGACACGGCAGAAAGCACGGGGTCACAGGACCCAGGGCTTTCAGAAGGTGCCACTCACACAAGTTCAAGAAATCAATGGCTGTGAGGAGCTGCTTATTCCACACGTGGGATTCCTAAAAGAGGCAATGAGGCAGAGAGCCAACGTGCTCTCAGACCTAGAGGTAACATTTGATTTGCTGCCCTCAGAATTTCGTGTTCCTTAAGGAACAAAAGTAGTTAGAGAAGCAAAATTTTCCTCTATTTTCAAGAAATGGGGAGTTTGAATACAAAGTATGTTATGTAAAAATAGGGAATCTACTAAAAAGTTCTATCTGAAGGGTACTATATTTTAAAACAATTTCAATAGGTACATCTATAATTTCAGATCTTTACGATAACCAGACATAAGATTTGCAATGTGTGCCGATTGAGCCCCCGACTGTGTCTGAGGGATCCCTTCACGAATCCATCAGCAGCTTCCGCAGGAGACTTATGAGCAGTGGGATGTGCAAATCAGCACCTGGCAGGACTACAGCCCACCAGCTTCTGTCATCACCAATTTTCTCTTTTATACTCTCCCTATGGCCCGAAACAGGTCTGCACAGAGTGCCTATGTCTGCAGCACCACAGAATACCACATACAGGGAAAGACAGGCCTGTGGGGACATGTTTTTAAAATTAGGTTTTCTTCCTTATATAAATCTGAATGAAAACCCCAAGAGTTCTGACTGTGATTGGCAGCCCCCGGCTCAGCCACCCCAGCAAAAAACTGCAGGGTTTTGTTAGAAGGGCCAGACCAGGGAGGGGCCACCCACAGGGCTCTTCTTTCTTTCTCTCTTTTGTGGCCCCTCAAAGTAGTGGATGAGTTTCATGGAAATTAGTTTGGGAATCCTGTTTTTAAACCAAGAAAGGACACCCCCCAGCCAGAGTATTGCTAGTTACTTATCCACACTTTTGCTGAACCACAGCTGCCTGCCCAAAATACAAAAGCTATTTGTGTCCCAACATAATCTGACATGTGAGAAGATACCATGGCCTTTATTACTCTGTGACCAGGCCCAGATGCTGCAGACGGTGAAGGGGACTTACCTGCTATACTGGCAAATATTTCACTGATGCCAATCAGCACGTATTGTGGGACTTGCCACCATATTGGCAGATCAGCAGCAAAATAAGTGACATTTCCGATGGTCTGATTAATGGTCTTCTCTTTAACAAGGTTCAGCCTTTTGCTTTCCAAAATTCCTAGAATTAATATGTAAGCTGATAGAGCATTTGCATTAACATTTGCAATTAAACTAAAACACAAGATGTTTGCTGCAAGATATGATTGATTATTCTGAACAATACTGATAGGATAATGCCCAATTATATGGCTTCTCCAGATTCCCCCCATCTAAAGACTCCCCCAGCTCCCAGCTTCCTCAGCAGGTTACTAAAAAATAGAGAACACATCATATATATTTCATCTGGGCTTTCCACCGTACCTTATAAGACAGACATTCAACATATTTAATTGAATTCTCAAATACCTAGACTGCTCACCTATACTTGTGTCTTTCTTTGAAAATGAGGTGTATAGGAAAGCTAAATAATAATGCTATTTACTTATGAGAAGGTAATACATTTTGAGACGTTTTCCCCATGACGGTAATGGATTTAAGCTGATCCTCTTATTATCATTGATACCACAATGACCAGAGCTAACAATTAGTGGATGAGTTTCATGGAAATTAGTTTGGGAATCCTGTTTTTAAACCAAGAAAGGACACCCCCCAGCCAGAGTATTGCTAGTTACTTATCCACACTTTTGCTGAACCACAGCTGCCTGCCCAAAATACAAAAGCTATTTGTGTCCCAACATAATCTGACACGTGAGAAGATACCATGGCCTTTATTACTCTGTGACCAGGCCCAGATGCTGCAGACGGTGAAGGGGACTTACCTGCTATACTGGCAAATATTTCACTGATGCCAATCAGCACGTATTGTGGGACTTGCCACCATATTGGCAGATCAGCAGCAAAATAAGTGACATTTCCGATGGTCTGATTAATGGTCTTCTCTTTAACAAGGTTCAGCCTTTTGCTTTCCAAAATTCCTAGAATTAATATGTAAGCTGATAGAGCATTTGCATTAACATTTGCAATTAAACTAAAACACAAGATGTTTGCTGCAAGATATGATTGATTATTCTGAACAATACTGATAGGATAATGCCCAATTATATGGCTTCTCCAGATTCCCCCCATCTAAAGACTCCCCCAGCTCCCAGCTTCCTCAGCAGGTTACTAAAAAATAGAGAACACATCATATATATTTCATCTGGGCTTTCCACCGTACCTTATAAGACAGACATTCAACATATTTAATTGAATTCTCAAATACCTAGACTGCTCACCTATACTTGTGTCTTTCTTTGAAAATGAGGTGTATAGGAAAGCTAAATAATAATGCTATTTACTTATGAGAAGGTAATACATTTTGAGACGTTTTCCCCATGACGGTAATGGATTTAAGCTGATCCTCTTATTATCATTGATACCACAATGACCAGAGCTAACAATAATGCTAGTTTCCTCCATAGATGGGCTTAACTTGAACCACAAAGTGAACTTCACAAGTCAACTTCTCTTAGCACCCCGGTCTCAGCAGACTGTTGGTCATTTGTTTCACCAACAGGAAGATGTGGAAAAACAAGCAAGAGGCAGCCACTCTTTGCAGAACAAAAAGTAAACGAATCAAAATAAAGTCTAAACACAACAAATCGTACAACCAAGTTCATAGGTTAAAGTTGTCACCGTGTTTTGCTTTTAGAGAATTCTAATTACAAATGAAATAATGGATCTGAAAATTTGCCATATATGTAAAAATATATGTAATCAAAACTGGAGTATGAGGAAGAACAGGAGACTGGGGTGGGAGGGCAATTGAAAAATTATTCCTCTTAAAGCCTGAGTCTGAGAAGGGACTCAGATGTGTTTATAGGGCCAGGAGATGGGCTCGGGAACTGCCCCAAACCCTGGCTCAAATCAACAGACCACAGTATGGGGAAGCCTCCCTGCTCACTCCCATCAGGAACCCCATCTCCTCCCAGAGGAGAGACAAGGGGACCCCATCCGTCAACTCTATCCTGCTGAGAAGTGCAGATGTAGATGTGGGGTGCAGAGCAGTCTCTGTGGTGCTCTGACTGCTCTAAGGAGGGGCATGTGAGGCGTGGAGCCCACTGGGGGTGTAGCGCTGGTGGTGACTGTATCCACTTATCCACAGTGACAGCCTTCTTCCCTGGTGGGCAGTGGGCAGCACCAGTGGGACAACAGTGCTAGCCTGGATGGGGCATCTCCAAACGCACAGGATGAAGCGTGACATACTTCCTCTGGATCAACCAAGGTCTAGTCAGCATCTGCACGCTGTACAGTCCCTACACAGGCCACCAGCCCTCCAGCTGAAAGGGCTCTGGCACAGTTTCAGTGCAGATGGGTCTACAGGGAGGACCCACTCACCTTTCTTGGGTACAAAAACTGAAGCTGGATAAGACCCTCCTCCACAGGAAAGGCAAGAGGGAGTTAAGATGTCTGTGCACGTATGTGTGTGTATGCACATATGTATGTGCATGTGTATCCCGTGTGTGCATGCTGTGTGTGGGGGTGACGGGGCCTAAGGGACCATACACAGGTCTGGTACTAGAAAGAGGAGAGGTGCCACAGCCTCCAGCAAGGTCTGGCAGGGAACGGAGGGAAGCTGTGGGATAGGACAGCTCTTACCAGCCAAGAAAGTGCAGGCTGTGTGAAGGCTGATGGCGGAAAGCTGATAGCCCAGTGGGTTGCTGCATAAGGGAGCGAGAACAAGGGCACGGAGGCCAAGAGGCAGAGCAGGGGACATAAGCCAAGTGTCTCAGGGCAGGAGGGCAAGGCTGGCCTGAGGGCTGCACTAGGCAGGTCGGTGAGAGCAGGAGGACCAAAGACACTCTGGGGACAGGACAGCAGTGGGAGCCCCCAGAGCATCAGCAGGCAGTGAGCATGTGGGTGCACAGATGCAGCGACTACCCCGGCCCTGAGGACAGGTGCAGCCCTGGGGCCCACGGCTGGGCAGCAGGGAGGCCAGATGGCGCCTCACAGTCCTGAGGGAGGGCTGCAGTGATACCAGGACCCCAAGGCAGAAAGAGGTGCCTGAGGGGCCTGGGAGTAACACACAGCTGGGGGGCTAGGCCCACTGTAGACATCATCCAGCTGGTTGCCCACTAAAAGCTGGAGACAGAAATGCCACCAGACTCTTTAAAGGTGGGTAATTAGGTCTTGGGGACAACCAGGAGGGGCCGAGTTCTGGTTTCAATGAGCCCTCTGTGCTGCCTTCCCACCTACAGACAACACATGTGATCCTGAGATGACATAAACCATGAACTTTCATAAGCAAGACACCACCATCTGCAAGAAATGCAGGGGGAATCTGACAGACATACCTCTCTGGGTCCTTGTCAAAATAAGACAAAAAAATAATGCAAATAAAGATTGCAGACAAGACCCAAAGAAAGGCAACTGAGCCAGAACTTCATTGATACAATTCACTGAAAGGAGGCAACACAGAAAGTCCTGCCCTCCTGGGGCTTTATTCTAACAGACCCACCCAGTGTTACGGAGAGGGTTTGCACGGATCTGTCGCCACCAGGGAGCAGACCACTGTATTCTGGGACATGTGCTCATCCACATGACCCCAACTCCATTGCACACACTGAAGCTTAGGGCTCCTACTGTAAAAGATCTGATTAATGTACCTGACAAGGTTATAACAGATGAACCATCCTATTCAGCACCCTACAAATAATTTTAGAAAGTTCTGTTAGGCCAAAAAGGAAGCCTTGAAATTCCCAATGTAGGTACGATAAAGCCATCAACTCTCCTAGCTCTGCGATGAAACCAGACATCATGAACAAATGGATGAACAAAAACATCAATACTATGAAATGGAAAAATTCTGGGAAATCACTCTTGGCTGATATTGTAAATATAAACCACAGTTTATAGAAAACAAAGAAAACACAAATCAAAGCATATGAGACCTTGACAAAGCAGCACCAACAGGCAAATTCATGCCAGTCCATGGTTCCTACTACTGAACAGGAAAGGAAAGAGTAAGTGAAACTAAATGAAGAGTTCAACTCAAGAAAAATGAGAAAGAAAATCACAAAGTGAACCTGAGGGAATAGAAAGGAACTGCTATCTTCATTCTTCACTTAGAAAACACTAAGACAATCAAATTGATAAACTCAAGGAAGACCTCTAAGAAGCAATCATAAAATACATACAGTTTTGGCAAGCCAAGAAAAAAAAGCACAGAAAGACCATACCACCCAGTAATTCCACTTCTAGGAATTTATGTGAAGAAAACAAAATCCCTGATTCCAAAAGATATGCACCCCTAAGTTTATCACTTAATTATTTATAATAGCCAAGTTATGGAAGCAACCTAAGTGTCCAACAATAGATGAATGGATAAAGCAGCTGTGGTACATATACATAATGGAATATTACTTAGCCATAAAAAAGAAAGACATCCTGACATTTGCAACAACATGGATGGATCCAGAGAATAAGCCAGGTGAAAAAAAGACAAATACCGTATGATTTCACTTACTTGTAGAGTCTAAAAACAGAATGAACAAAACAGTAATAGACTCACAGACACTGAGGAGTGACTGGTGGTTACCATGGGGGAGGGTTTGGGGTGGATGGGTAAAATAGGTGAAGGGGATAAAGAGGCTCAAACATTAATATAAATTAGTCACAGCGATGAAAGGACAACATAGAGAGCAGTCAGTGGTTCTGTACCATCATTCCATGTTGACAGACAGTAACTACACTAGTTGGAGTAAGCATTTAATAATGTAGATAACTGTGGAATCATTATGCTGTATATCTGCAATCAATATAACACTGTATGTCAACTATACTTCAATTAAAAAAAATACCAAATAAAGAAAAAAAAGAGAACATAAGTAACTGAAACTAGAAATGAGGAAGGAAACACAGATTTCTTTAAAGCGCCATTTTTATCTCCACCCTAGTGATTTTTCTAAAACTCAATAAAATGAATGGTTTACTCAGGACATTAAAAAAAAAGAGTGATTCTAGAAAAAACAATCTCTACAAAACTGAGAAAAAGGTGGCAAAGTTACCCCTTCTTCTCAGAGGTAAGGAGCTCACATGCAAGGACTTTGGGGCTTCCTGGGAGCAGATAACTTGCATCCTGTTAAGACACTGTCTTGCCTGCAGAAATAGGGAATTTACCAACTCCTTTTATGAAGCTACATAACCCCGACACCAAACCACAGACTGTTATCAGTTATGGATGGAGACGCATGGGTGCAGAAAATAGCAGATTCCAATCAAGCTTTCAAAGTCAGCCCATGGAACAGAGCTTATTTTAGACATGCAGGAATAGTTAAATATCAAGAAGTTACTACAAATAAAAAACATGAGTAGCCAAGGTAGGATGGAGTGGGGTGGGCCCATGTAATCTTCTTGGAAACCAAAATAAGATGCCTGAGCAAAACACAACATTCGTTTCTGCCCCAAATGCTCAGTAAACTTGAAATAAAGGTTAGATATTTAACATCATCATGAACGTATATTTCAAACAGAGGCAACAGTAAAGTCAAAGTGTCAGTGAGCTGCTGGGCATGCCTCCACTCGAGTCAGCTGCAGGAGAAGGCTGTCACCGCCCACGTTTAAAAGCTCTGGGAAAGTCTAGCCAAGACTGCCAGATGAAAAGAGAAAGACGGGGGTCTCATGAAGGCAGGAACAGAAACCATGCTATATATTAGAAGGCTGAGTGGCCATTTGATAACTATTCATTGAAACTCAGAACTTTTTAAAGCTTCATATCTGAGCAACCAAAAATCCATAAAGTTGTTAGGAATAAACCTAACATTAAACACACAGGATGTAACTGAAAAAACGTATAACACTTCTACAAGATAAAAATTAAAGGGAAAATGAAAAAATTGTAAAAATACTCCTAAGATAAAATTTTGAATAATAACCATCTATTACATACCAATATCAAAAATAGAAAGACCCATTAGAAAACTGGGCACAACACAGAAACTATACATGAAGTATAATGACTGGTAAGTTTGTGGGTGGGGGGAATCTTAAACATATATCATGTTTTAACTCTTCAGAGAAGAGTTATCAGAAAAACACAATCACGACTGCCCAGGGTGGTGTATGACCAGCATGCTGGTGAGGTCTGCTGTGATACCTTCTCTTGAATAATCTACCCCAAGGAACCAGAGACAGGGCATACATGGGGACATGAGGATGTGTGAACAGCGATGTCTGAAAGGAGGGTAGTCTGGAACCAACCAGCAGATTAAATAAGAGGGCTGGTTTTTAAAAATGATGGTACATTCAAAAATGAAATATTATGTAGTTATTAAAAACTATAATTTAAATATATAACTGACATGGAAAAATGGTATGTGTGTAGAATACAAAAATAAAGGTTATAAACTGAATAGTGTACTTTATAACATTTAAGAAAAAGTAATTTAGCTATAACAGAGAATGCTCTATGAAGATACATAGTGGTTGTGGCTGGGTGGTGAGATTATGGATGAATTCATGTCTTCCCCACTTTTATCTATATATTTTTAATGACCATGGATTGACTATGTGATACTGATTTTTAAAAACTTGTTGTAGGCCAGGGATTCTTAACTCTTTTCTAATGAAAGATATAAACCAGAAAAAACACTCAGATGCTTCTACCTAAATTTCAGGATGTTCTCCCTGACCTGAAGGCCATGCACAGACCCTGCCTAAAAACCACTGTGGGAACAGAGCATCCACAACACCAGGTGTGAGCAGAGCCAAGTGTGCAAGGAGACAGCAGTGAGGGTGGATCGGTGCCATCAGCCTGCCTTCCTGGATGATAATTCTGGCATATATGTCAAAAGCCTTAGAAGGATGCACTGATGACACTTCAGGGATTTGAGAGGTAAGGAAATTTCACTGAAGGGCTCTCTCTAATAGTGAAACAAGAGTCCTGGACACAAGCAATAAAGGGTTGCAGATGGACATTTGACAAGGAAGCTTATTCATGGTACAGCAGGTTATTTAAGTGGGTGACAGAGGAGGTACGGACATGATCAGACATCACACACACTATTTCCCCATGCTCATGAAGAAGGGTAAGAGTAGACTTCCTTGGGTGGTGGGATTGAGGGGGCTTCAGTCCATGTGTGTGTGCACGTGTGTGAGATGCACATCTGTATTTTTGCATTTTTTCTTCCTGAAACTTAATGTGCACAGCTTTATTATATACTTATGGTGCTCTTACTATTATTTTTTCCTTTATCAGGCTGACATCAGCTTACACAATAGGATCTCATTTTTACAAAAATACACCAGGTGTATGTGTTCATTGGACACAAACAAGGTCTGACAGGTATAGGCCATCCCAATGGGGAGCACCTCTGGGGAAATCCCAGTTGGCTTGTTTTCTTCTTCATGTTTCTAAAGTTTCCTTTTCTCCACAGGGCATCTATTACTTTAGTAATTTCAAATAAATCCCTTGGGCCTACTTCTCATCTGAGAAACTTTACAGAAAAATCATCACTGGCAGGCATGGCACTAGGTGGGAGGTACTGATTCATTATGGGTGAAAATAGTAAGTGAAAGGGCAAAACAATTTTTTCTCTATTAAAACTTTGGTATGATAGAACAGTTTCAGGCCTCTACTCAAAGCTTATTAACATGCTAATTAAATGACACTCACTAGGGCTAGAAGGGAGACTGCGTGAAACATGGGACGCTATTTACATGACATTTAGGAAGTGGTCTTGAGTATCCACAAGATACTTAAACTCTCCGAACCAATGACAACTGAGTCCCTTCTCAATACCAATGACAACTGAGTCCCTTCTCAATATTTGGCCACTTGGCAAAAAAAGCCTTTTCAAGCATGCAAGCCTAGCAGGTATTTTCCATTTCTAAGTAATCAACTCGGGTGCTCAGAGTTGTGCCAGGTCAAATCGCCTGTGTCCTCAACAGGTGTTGGCAGACACACAGAAGGCCCAACTCTGTTCAGCACTGAAAGGGAACTACTGTGCGTTTTGCTGGCACTTTTAAAAGCCAGAACTGCTGTCCCATTTGGTAATCTCCACAGTCACTCTTCTGACTGCTGTGCCCTCTGTGGTTCCCGGCAGCCCATAGCTACTCAGCTAAGAGATGATGGTATTAAAGGAGCCCAAAACCAGCATCTAGTATGAAATACCTGGAAAATCAAGGACAGGTCCTTTCCCCCAGGGAGAGACAAGGACTCCCATCCTTGGCATGTGACCAGCATGGTCGTGGTGCACACAGGGCACCCGGATCCAGAAGGATACAGGAGCAGGCCCAGCTGAGCCCACAGCAGGTGCTCAGGGAACACAAGGCAGGCAGACACCCTCCCCAGTGCAACCAATGCTCCTCTGGACGGCCCTGCCAATCACTGATTCTGCTTAACAAAACCTGCAACTAGAGTCTGCTGTTAATCTGGTTATTTGCTCTGGCTTATTTCCCCATGTGCCACAGGACTAGGAGAGAAACAGAATCACAAAGGAAGCACACAGCAAAAACTTCATTCAGACTTGACCTCACTTTAATTATCTGTTTGATCAAGAGAAAACCTAATAGTCTTCTAAAGTGTCCTGGTCTCTGGAATATAGATTTCTTAAGCCGAGGGACTCATTTCTTTAAATCTATTAAGTACTATATCAATATGTTCACTCTGGGGACAGTAGATGGCGGCCGCTGTGAAGCACTGTTGGAGAATATTAAATTCCATCTCGGTAGGGCTTAATGTTAAATTCCTCATAACAGCAGATGATATACAGCAGAATCAGGGGTATCAGCTTTTCCTTCCTTGTTATATTACTACACTATTTTATGGTTCAATAATTTTCAAATATTAATGAAGAACTCCAAAGCAAGTTGAGAATGTCAGCAATCCATCGGTTTTATCAGCAGAAGTTATTTCAACTTACAGTTCAGGATATAAGAATTATGAAACAGAACAGAGCCCCCACAGGGTAATTCTGTTCCCCAATATTGGAATAATTTAGGCTTTAGTTCTTAAGCTTTTTTTTTCCAGGGGCTGGGGGCTGATCATGAACCTATCTTTAGTAAAACCTTTCTGCTCAAGAAAATGTACATGACACTTTACATAAAAATACAAAGGATTTATAGGGGAATACTGAAGCCTATTAATGGACCTAACATTAAGAATCCTAAGCGTATACTCACATCTTTGAGAACTACACACCACCTTTGATTTATAAAAGTTCATCTATTCAGCAATTGGCAGTTGACTAAAATCTAAATCGGCAGGGAGAGAACAAGGCTCCTTTGATTCAATCCAAAAGTTACTTTTTAGAGCATTTCACTGGTTTTAGTTCTAGGACAAAAAAAATGACAAATCTTAACAGAAAAAAACCTTAAACTTCATATAATGAAAACCTAGAAAACCATGGGTTTAAAATAATCCATATGTCCTCTTTCAAGGTACATACACTTCCTGCATAACATGTAGCATAATGAAGGGTGAATCCCTGTATTCTGAATTACCCACAACTGCTGACATCAGTTTTGAGCAGAAAGGGGACAGACATGGCTTCTTACCTGCAGCAAAGGCAGAACACATGACAAAGAACATTCCAACAGCGATCCTTTTTAAGGATGATGGGAGTAAGCCATTTCTTTTCAAGATGGGATCAACCACTTTATCCTTTAAGGGAATTAACAGGAGGATGAGCACAGCGTCAAACATGGTCAGCCAAGCTGCCGGAAACTAGAATTTTAAAATGCATGAGACATGTGGTTATTTTTCTGCAATGAGTAGTCACTTATTTGATAACAAATGCCAAGTGGGAAAAATCTGTTTCAAGAATGGTTCATTTCTATGAAGTATAATCTCCTAGGAAAAATGTCTCAGTTTTGAGACTGAGGAAGACTTTTATTACTAAATGGATTTGCGTTTGTTTTTCTCTGCTTGAAGGGGAGGCAGGGGGAAGGGGGAGAATCAGATGCAATACTATCAAACGCACATTAGTCAACAATCTAGTAAATGACATAATCAATGTTAAAAGTCTCTAAAATAAGTAAAAATTCCATTTCAATAAGAATTCTTTTAGTTTATGCTAACTGCTAACATTTATCAAGTTATCTGTGATTGGTAAAAGGTACCCAATTGCTACATGAACTCCAAGTGACAATTTCCACATCATTTCAACTGCTCTCACCGTATGAGGAATGGTTGTAATACTGGAAATTTTTGGAATCTTCAAATGAAGACTCTGTAAGACATACGTCGTCTGCATCTGGGTGCGAAAAACATTATTACATGTGAACAGCTCTGCCTCTCAACACCTCTGCCTGCTGCCCTCCCCGCAACTACTGGTCATGAGAAACAAGTTTGGAAACAGCATGTCAATTATTTGGTCATCTGAAAGTTGTCTAGAGATCAACTTGGAAAGAGAAATGAGTTAGGCAAATGAGAAATCAAATTAACAGGTGGGGCCTGGGAGAAAAAAAACATACCCATTCTCAGCTTCTTTTGGGAAAAGGTTTTCAAAACATTTAAATCAACAAAAATGAGTCCATAACTAAAAGCAAGATTCCAAATCCTAGAAGCTCATGGAAAAAAATCAGAGGCCTCTGTACTTTGGTCATGGCCAGAATGAGCACCAGGGAAATGGTTTGTAGGAAGGAAAGGGAAACAAAAGCTGTTTGTCACCACTCACTTGAAAGTACACTGTCCAGTAAGGTATCAAAGCCAAGAAAACAGGGACAATCTTGACAAGAGCTTTCACATCTTCCACTTTATCTTCTGTAAACGGCCCTCCATGAGACATCTTACATGAATCAAACAGACTTTGTTTACAAGTTTGCTGAAAGACTCCAATGCCTTCACTTTGGGAAACAAAATGAAGGGATTAGTTTTCTTCCACCCGCAGAAATTAATTATTTGGTAACAAATTAAGTTTGGAGGTAGGAAACCAGCTTGCTGTATGGAATTTGCTTTAATTTCATGCTATTACTTACTACCTGTATGCACAAAATGCAGCTGCCCACGTTACTCCTAACAGGGCACAATGTCCTGGAACAGCTGATGAAAGAACTTTGTGGTCACAGTGCAATTGTGGCTACCATCATTCTAATGAAGCTGCAAGACACACGCTCTCATGGTCTGAACTGTGGCTTATGTCACCCCAGCTTGGATCACACTGGTCAAGCCAGTTGAGAGCCTAGGGTTTCTCCTGAACTGATGACAATGACATCATCTACTCACTAGATTAATATTTTGGGGAAAAAACTGTAGTGGACTGTGGATTTTTAATTAGGTAATGTTATCAAATGTCAAGACCTGACAACCAATACCAATGTTGTTAATAAAATGGTGCGAGCTTATTTAAAGCACAGCTGTTGGTGTGATTATGAAGAAGGTTCTGTTCTAGAAGGGAAAGTGCAGAGGGTAAGGGACACCTGTGATGATGACATGACAATATTCCCTGGCAGCAGGTGACAGCAAGTCCTCACCCGTTAACCCTGACCACAGCCCTATGAGAGACTGGGGTACTGTGGCTGTCCCACTGCAGAGATGACAAACAGGGCACAGAGGGGGCAGTGGATGTGTCCAGGCGAACAAAGCCAGAGAGCTGGGAACGAGGCTAGACTCCTGGCAGTCCTGCTATAGAGCCTGAGGCCCGCCCATGGCAGGACACCACCTGCTGTCTGCTCCCTGCCCGCCGGCATCGGCAGGACATGGAGCCATCCGCTCCTGGCACCAGTATTAGCAGCTTCGCTCGCTTGCTTACTCTGGGTCTCTTTCATTATTTATAAAATGAGCAGGTCCCAGTGGATAGCTCCAAAACAGTCTAATGGAGAAAGTGCTCTAAGGTTCTTCGGTAAAAGGGAAAAAAAGCTTTTTTGTTTTTCTTGCACACTATTCTCTAAAGCCAGAAATACCTGGAGACAATTAATTACCATTAAAAATGTTTCCAATTCTGGGACTTGGATATAAGTGGCAGTTGTCTGCTTTCTACTTTATAAACTCCTGTCCTATTTAACAGTTACCACTATTTTAAATCAGTTTTGGCTTATAACATTGACATTTTTTAATCTGAACCAAAAAACCAAAAATTTTAACAGTATTTTAGCCAAATTTTGGACAGGAAAACTAATTAAATTTACAAATATGTACCGAGCACCTACTACACGTCCAGGTCTGTTCTAACTGGGTGGTCATGAATAAATAAAAAAGATACTTTGCTACCCTTAGGTAGTTACCTAGTAGGAAAAAATAGTAGGAAAAAACCCCCGCAAAGTGAACTTCTAAATTGCAAAGATACTATTCATACTTTGAAAACATTCACAGCTTCTCCAATCTTTTTTTTTTTTTGGCCAATAACGAAATTTTGTGCGCTTATATACCTTTTATGCATACTATCAATGACTTCCTACATCATATTACATATGGGTTTCTCTAAACACATTTACGTTCCAAATAACAAATCTACTTTCACACACAGAATCATTCACACAGGTTTCTGCTTACATTACCTCTGTGTTATGTCATCGGCAGGACATGGAGCCATCCGCTCCTGGCACCAGTATTAGCAGCTTCGCTCGCTTGCTTACTCTGGGTCTCTTTCATTATTTATAAAATGAGCAGGTCCCAGTGGATAGCTCCAAAACAGTCTAATGGAGAAAGTGCTCTAAGGTTCTTCGGTAAAAGGGAAAAAAAGCTTTTTTGTTTTTCTTGCACACTATTCTCTAAAGCCAGAAATACCTGGAGACAATTAATTACCATTAAAAATGTTTCCAATTCTGGGACTTGGATATAAGTGGCAGTTGTCTGCTTTCTACTTTATAAACTCCTGTCCTATTTAACAGTTACCACTATTTTAAATCAGTTTTGGCTTATAACATTGACATTTTTTAATCTGAACCAAAAAACCAAAAATTTTAACAGTATTTTAGCCAAATTTTGGACAGGAAAACTAATTAAATTTACAAATATGTACCGAGCACCTACTACACGTCCAGGTCTGTTCTAACTGGGTGGTCATGAATAAATAAAAAAGATACTTTGCTACCCTTAGGTAGTTACCTAGTAGGAAAAAATAGTAGGAAAAAACCCCCGCAAAGTGAACTTCTAAATTGCAAAGATACTATTCATACTTTGAAAACATTCACAGCTTCTCCAATCTTTTTTTTTTTTTGGCCAATAACGAAATTTTGTGCGCTTATATACCTTTTATGCATACTATCAATGACTTCCTACATCATATTACATATGGGTTTCTCTAAACACATTTACGTTCCAAATAACAAATCTACTTTCACACACAGAATCATTCACACAGGTTTCTGCTTACATTACCTCTGTGTTATGTCATTAAAATACTTTAAAAACTGCTAAGTCAATATGTACATAAAACCACTGAATTCACACATATTGTTAGTGTATTGCTTTGTAACACAAAAGGGTCCAACATGGAGCCATGGTCACAAATGACTTGGAACACAGGCAGCGACCCAAAAGGCTGACCCACCCCAGCTCGATGGGGCCCAAGCTCCCTGGTCCTGTCTGCAGAGACTGTATACACACGTATGGGTGCTCTCCCAGGAAGAGGGTCCAGTGCTTCTCACATTCTCAACTCAAAGAGGTGTATATCTCAAAAAAGGTTTAGAACTAGTCCCAGTTGATCTGATGAACAGATATACATAGATTTCTCATTTGAATCAGCACTAAATCATACTCAAAACACAGATAATCCTGGCTCAGAAGAAACTAGAATTGGTCCAGATGAAATTAGGGTTATAAATAAGGAACCCTGGGTGACGTACTTCCTTAGGCCTCTGGAGCCCACCCTGCAAGAACATCCACGTAGTTAACATGAACTGGGTTTTTACAATGGGCCAGGCATTCTGTTGAGGGCTGTGCACACATCAACCCACTCAGGCCCCACAGTGATCCTATGACATGAGTCTCTCTCCACTGTACAAAAAGAAAATACAGGCTTGGCAAGGCCATTAACCTGCCCAAGGTCACAAAGCCTGGGCATTACGCATAGGAGAGCAAGCTTGAGAATTCTCTGGACCATCAGCTTGTCTGCAAGCTACTCCTTTTTATCTTAATGTGCCAAAGAAGATTTTCAAAAACAAACATATGGGGAAACTGGGCTCCTAAGCAAAAGTAAGTCCAGATCCTCTTCACTGTGTGATCTGGGCACTAAAACCCCTAAATGCCCACAGAGCACCGGGCAGAGCAATGTCTACCAGGTACCAGCTGTGCAGATGCACTGGGACTTTAAGGGCTGTTTCTTCAAAAGGACGTATTTTGTTAATGGGAATTTGGTAATAAACATCTGGGATGTGAAACCTGGCTTTCGGCTACTGGAAGTAAGGCCCTGGCAAAGCACAAGAGCTTGCCGCTAAGGTGGTGCTGCTTTAATTTATAATTTCTTCAGTGAGGTCCCACCATTTGTAGTTTTGAATTATGAGTCTGAATGCCACACTGACCCCATAGGATTCCAGGGGGTCAGCCAGGATGGTTAGATCTGGTGGAATGAAAGAAGAAACCAGAAGTGCAGCGTGGAGCAAAGGAGGGGGGCTGCAGGAGCTGGACGGGTACAGCGTCAGACCTACCACATGGAAGGAGTCTTAGACATTATGGTTCCAAGAACACAGATAAGACACATGCAGGATAGCCACGAGGAGGCAGATGTGGGGGTCAGCCCGCACACTACCGCAGCAGTCAGGCAGATGGGAATCTCTCGTGGTGGAGAGGTCAACCCCTGGCTCAGGGACTAAGCTCCCATCAGGAATGCCTACCAGGCATTTTGATCAAAATATACCCTGAAGGGGTTGACTACAAAGGGTCCCAGGGAATCCATATCCTGACTGTACTGGTGACATGACCAAATATACTTGTCATAGTTCCCACAACCAGATAGCTAAAAGGGCTTATTTTATTACAAATAAATTATACTTCAATAAAGAAACAAAAATTTCTGAGGTCTCTTCTTGGACTAAGTTCTGGACTTTTCTTAGTTAATCATATCTAGGGTGACCAACCATCTGTCCCAGTTTCCCTGGAGACTGTGGGACTTCCCCAAGATGTGGGACTTTCTGTGCTAAAATCAGGGACATCCCATGCAGATGGTTACCCTACCTGCACCTCAAAATTCTATGTATGTCCTTCCATCAAAAAGCACTTGAACCTAATTGTTTATAGTTCATGATGTGTGATCAAAACCAAAAGTTTCTGTGATGAATGCCCTTGTACTGTTCACCATGTAAGAACTTATTCACTATGTAAGAATTTGTTCACCATGTAAGAACTTGTTCGTTATGCTTCAGAAGATAGGAGGCTGACGAGAATTAGGCTTGAGATGGATTAATGATTGTGCATTGAGCGTTGACGCCCCTATACAGAATTTTATTGTTGTTAACAACCATTTGATCAATAAATATGAGAGATGCCCTCTCAAAAAAAAAAAAAAAAGCACTTGAAGTGACCACTGCATGATGGGGTCCCTACTGACCTGATCAGGTGCTCACCTGGAAGTGCAAGTCAGCAGCTTACTATTTCAGGAGCACAGACAGGTACCTATCAAGGAAGCAATGGCTTGGTTTTTCATTCCAGTGAATTTCAAAGCTTTATAAAATAGAAAGAGATATGAACAGAGCATGTATACTATCTCCCCTATGCACTCTGCAAATTTCTGTCTTTGTCATCTTTACATAACTAACCTGCAGGAAGCTTCCATCTGTATCAGCTGTGAGGAGAAGTTAAAAATTAAAAGCTTGAGCTTCAGAGTCAGTGCTCAAGCTGACATAAGATTAAAGGAGATGACACATTTAAACCACTTAGCCCAGTGTCCTACACACAGTAAGCATGCCATGGATGTAAGCTAGTATTTCATTTACAGTGACAGTTTAAGTCATACCCAAATGAGCTGGTGATGACAATTAAGCACTCACCTGCTATGACCATGTTCTCCAATTCGCTTTTGGGGACGGCATGAGTATGCCAGGATCTTGAACATATCAGTGAAGGCACTGCCATCAGGAGGCTTGGTGATGAAAACTTTCTGGCCGCAGAGGAAGACCATGAAAGAGGTGCCAATGCAGACTGTCGGGATGATGTAGCCGGTCACAAAGCTCAGATTCTGCTGAATGTACGCGATGCCTCCTAGCGAAATGATTGCTCCCAGGTTAATACTCCAGTAAAACCAATTAAAAAATCTTCTCGTGGCTTCTGGGCCTCGATCTTTAACCTAAAATAACGGAGGAGAACAGACTTAAAAACATGCCATCATCTTCAAGGACGAGAAGCACACATAGTGACGTGATTCAAGCGCTGTGACCGTCACAGCTGTTAGGAAGTGCCATGCAATCAAATGGTGTTTACAGACACTTAGGGACCCCTGATGAAAAAGCGGCCACACTTTTAATTACTACAGATCCTGGGTATGTTTTCCTTCATTATGCTTAAATCCAAGAAATCCCAGAAAGCTTCCTAGTGTACTATCTATGGACCTCGTGTTTGGAAACACCTGAAATGCTTCTTAAAAATAGATTCACAGACTCCCCATTCCATCCTATTCACCATGTCTGGGGTTGGGGCCAGGAGTCTAAATTTTACACACTTTTCCATGTAACTTCTATTCACAGGTGTGCTTTAGAATCACCCCTAGTATACTTGTTCCACACGTTAATAAATCTGGAGCAAAGAGGAAATTACAGACTGAAGCTAAAACCACTTGCTATTTTTTAGATTAGGAAGGTTATCATGGAATCAGAAGCTCTGATAAAGATGGAGATTCCTGGAAGGCTCAAAAATCACCAGTTTCCTGAACTTAGACAGACAAAGCACTAGGTAATACAAGCAATTTCTAGGTGTGCACTCTCCACAAGACTACTTAAATGGAGTGCATCAGGTTGGTGACAGTCCCTGGGAGGAGAGGCACCCCACACCTTCCCTTTCCACCTGCATGGACACCAAGACAGTGACCTCTCCACTAGCCTGCTGTATTTTGTACCATTTTTAGGCAAACATACTAGCTAAAGGCTGGCGGTGGGTCACATACACAGACTGTTTGGTCCTGCTGTCTTAGGAGCCCCTGTTGTTTTATCCTTAAATTACAAACAGCTTCTGTTCCAGTAATGGATCTCATTTCTGTCCCCCAGAGCAATCTCCCCTACTAAAGAACAGAGAAGGTTTTCAGTGGGGGCCCGAACAACCAAGTGTGATGTACCAAAGGCATCTGTTAGCAGTCCTAAGCTTCAGACAATATTGTAGTCTCTATTTTTTAAGATTAAGGCGAGGTGTAAAACACATAGTTAAGATGGTGTGGGTCCCATCTCAAATTGAAAATCTGATTTTTAAATAAACCACATGTTCTCAGGATGAGCTAACATTTGTCTCCCACCCATGTCAGAAATGAGCAGAGAGGTCCTGGACCAAACACTGGCACAACTACCAAATAAACAGTTTATATTGGGAATTCCTTTTATTTCTAAGACAGCTCTTCATGAGGATGCCATGAATCTAAGTGTTAGTTAACTGTACTCAACTAGTTATGTTCTATGGAGCTAGACCAACGGAAAAGGAAAACTGTAAGCAGAGAAAGGATTACAGGGTGGCACTGCCCACTGTGCACATGGCAGTCAACTTATGTGAGCCTCCTAGTGTACTTCACTTTAGACTTTAGAAACCTAAACCTATTACTAAAGCCCTAAATGCCCACATGCCAGTAATTTTTGTAACAAATGAAAGCCAGTTCCCATAAACTGCACATCACATGCTGGAAGCCGTCACAAATATCTGTCACATTGCGTCATCCTCTGCACAGTGGTCTCATGTCTGGCCCTACTGAGGTAAACAAGCATTCCATGTGACCATGCCAACATTTCAAGGAAGTACAGCTCAAAGAACGGGATCCTGCAGTTAGTCAAATGGTTGGCTGATCTGGAAAAATTCCTTAAAATGCACAAGAGTACAACTTTCTTTCTCCAGAAAAATTGTACCATGAGCTCGCATAATCTGTAAAAAGTTTTTCTTTTTGCAGTTCACTATTTCAAATACTCAGTCTACCCATAAAGGAGGATTGTGACCTTTGAAAAGGGTAGTACAGCACTGGGGAAGACCTGGAGCTGACATGATATACATCAAAATAGAGGTCACCCTTGGAATCCTTCCCTACTCATCTTCTTTCCAAAGTGGGCCCAGCCTCCTCGCAGCTGACAGCCTGACACACTCATCTCTCACTCAAAATGTTTCCTAAAGGCTGTGCCTTGGAGATATAGATGTGAGGGACAGAGAACCACGACAAGTACCCTAAAAATACAAGCAGATTTTCTCAGACTGAGAAGGGCCAGGACATGACAAACTAAGAGCCTGGGAGGCTTCATGCCTAGTCCCAGGCTCAGAGCCACCCCTCCCGTCAAGGTCAGGCAGCAGCACCTGGGGGAGGTAGGGAGCACCACTGATAACCCCTCAAAGACAAAACAGAAACTGGCAGGGGGCAAGCATCCTGGCACAGAGACACTGTTTTCTTTCTAATTGTTTTTTTCACCATGAGATAATGCACTGTACTAAAAATATTCACCCTGTTGAAATGTACAACACAGCGGTTTGTAGTCTGCTCAGTTATGCAACCATCACCACTGCCTAATTCCACATTTTCATCTCGCCACAGGACACTCTGTTCCCTTTACAGTCACTTCCCGTTCCCCCTCTACTTTATCCATGTATCAGTTCATGAATATCTGCTCAACCTTTCATTAAAAATTTTTTTAACTTTTGGAAAATCTGAAAAAAACAGTAAAACATATACACTTCTATAACCTCCACTTAGATCCTTAGTTCTGTTTTCCTATATACATTTGAAACTCTTTCAGGCTGAAGTACTAAAAGTAAGTTGCAGCATCGTGGTATTTTACCCCAAAGATTTAATCATGAATCTCATAAAACTAAAGCCATTCTTCTACATGACCACACACTATTATCACACCTAAGAAACTTAACATCAACACAATTTTATCTAATATGTGGTCTACAATCAAAGTACCCCAACTGTCTCCAAAAGATGACTTCACAAAATCTGGGATCAAAGCACACACTGCATTTGGCTGTCGAGTCTAATATCCTTGAACCAAGGGTGGGCCTCTTTTGTTTATGACAGCATCATATTTAAAGAGATTAGGCCAGTTATCCCACAGAAGATAGCACGTTTCTTCTCAAAATCCACATTTCATTACACATCAAGAGTGCATGTTCTGCCATGCTCCCTAGATAACCTTTACAGGACCATCCATTCTTTTAAGAAATACTAGTTACTCATCTGTCAGCTGCTGGAGAGCACTAACGCTTAAGTAAGACTGCCTGGGTGTGAACCCAGGCCCACACACCCTGCCACCCACTGCCTCCCAGTCCCCGCTCCTTTGCTGTGGTTCTGGGCAGGTCAAACCATCTGGTCCTCGATTTCTTATAAACAGGGACACTTAGAGCACATAAGTCATTGTGAGGCTTGTATAGGGTAGTGCAGGAAGAGCACTTGGTACAGTAAGGGGCATAACAGTAAATGTCACGCCACACTTCTGTCGTGTGGCCTGTCCTGTAAAATAAGCATGTGCCCCCAGCACTGCACCTGCCCTGCTGGCCTATGAGCTGATGGCTCCCTGAGGCCAATGCCACAAACCTGGGCCTCGAGACCCAACTCTGCGCCAACCGCATCTGACTGCATTTCTGTTGCTCCATTACAGAATGCCCACCTTGGTGCCATGGCTCAAATATAAAGAAATCAGACCTGGACTAAAACCCTCACTTGACACTTACTACCTGTAGGACAACAGAGGAAATAATCTCCTTTTGTACCTCTATTTCCTCATAAAAAAATGGGTGTAAGATTCACGTGGGGTTCAGAGAGTTCGAGGGTGTACAGAACATTCCTGGTGCAAAGGAAGGGTTAAGAATTCAGGACAAGAGGCAACTATAATTTTAAATACCCCTGTAAGGTGTTGCCTTAATGAGATGGACAGCCTTACACAGGTGTGATAAAGCTCAGAATCCAGGGACAGACTCTTGCATTCTGGCTCCGTCACTTACTTGCCATGTAACTTGGGGCAAATGATTTAATCTCTCAAGCCTGTTTCCTCATCTGTAAAATGCGTGTGACAACAGCAGAGGCCTGTCTGTGGACTTAACATTGTGGACAAAGTACTTAGCACAGGGCCTGGGGCATAGCAAGCCCTCCATAAATGTCAGCAATCACATGGTTATTTGGTGCGAAAACATAGCAAGTATCTTCCCTATTGCTCCCATATGATCTGCCAACAATTTCTGGCCACTCTACCTCCATACCTTACCCTAAATCCACCCACTTCACTCCATGTCCACTGCCTCCTTACCAGTCCACATCTCTCACTTGGCCATGAAACCAATTCCCACCTGAGAGACAACTTAGTCTCTAGGCCAGACTCCGGAAACTCTTTCCAAAAAGGGGCAGGGTATAAATATTCTAGGTTGAGAGACATTCAGTCTCTGCTACAACTGCTCAGTTCTGCAATTGTATTGTGCAAGCGGCCTCAGCACAGCTGATGGATGACCAGGAATGTGCAAAACTGTTCCAATAAAGCTTTATTGACGGAGACTGAAATAGGAGTTTTACAGAATTTTCACTTGTCACAAAATACTCTGCTTTTGTCCTACCACTGAAAACCCTAAGCACCATTCTTCTTAGCTTGCGAGCCCTCCAAAAAGAGGAAGTAGACCAGATTTGGCTGGTAGGCCACAGCAGCGGCAGTGTGGGCAGGGGCTTTGCTGGAGGAGGCATCTCTTAGAAACACACACGGACTGTATCACTCCCCTGGGAAAACCCCATAAATGCTTCCTACTGTATTCAAAACATACCTCAAACGCTCGCAAGCCTCACAGAACCTGCCCTGCCCACATCTCTTCCCACTTTTTCTTTCTTGAATTTAGTTGACATACTACCTTCTGTAAGTTTCAAGTGTTCAGTGTTGACCTGACAAATGTACGTGTTGGAACACTACTACCCCTGTAGCTACACCAACAGAGGTATTCTTTCCTTCCAGGCCCCAGGGCCTTTGCACCTGCGGACGCCCCCGTTGGAAAGCATCTCCACCAGCCACTACGCCTTTGACAGCCTTCAGGTCTCAACCCCAGGAAGGAGGTGCCTTCTATTTGGAGCCCCATTCGCCATCCTTCCCAAGTAGCCCCTGGCTGCGCGAGCGCCTCCACGGGCCAATCCAAATCCATCCTCCCTTCCGGATTCGCGGGTGGACGTCCCGCGCGTGTGGGCGCACCTGGCACGCTCACCTGGTCCGCGCCGAAGGGCGTGACGTTGGCCTTGACGGCGCCCACGCCCAGCCCCACGAGAGCCAGCGCCGAGAGCGCGGCGGGCGCGCAGTAGCGGGTGGGCACGTCGGGGCAGGGCAGCGCCGAGCAGTTGCGGACGCGCGTCGGGCGCGGGGCCCCGCAGAGCGCGCCTCTCGTGGAGGACGCGGCCAGCAGTGGGAAGGCCAGCATGCCGAGGAGATAGAGCGCCAGACTAAGCAGGATGGCGCGCGCCCGGCCGAGCCACGCGTCGGCCAGCCAGCCTCCGAACGGCGACACCAGGTAGGCCAGGCCCATGAAGAGCAGCAGCGCCTGACTGGCCTGCGCGCCCTCCCAGAGGAACGGCGTGCCGTTGAGGAACAGCACCAGGTTGGCCGTGACGCCGTAGAAGGCGGCGCGCTCCAGCAGTTCGGCCAGTAGCACGGCCGCGCAAGCCGCCCGCCGGCCCGCGAACGCTGCCTGCCGCGCGCCCAGCAGCGGGGCCAGTTCGCCGGTCGCGCCCTCCATGAGCCCGCCCGGCTGTCGGTAACCGACCCGCGCCCCTATCGCGAGACGCTTCTGGCTGCCCGGCCAGGCCCGCTGCGCCCCGCCCCTCGAGCCGCCGGCCCGCCCCGCGGGCGTACGCATTGGGCAAGCTGGCTACCTCCGTCTTCCTGTTACGCCCCGGAAGCTGGGTGGGCGGCTTCCGGCAGCACTGGGCAGGGGACTGGGCTTCGCCGCGGAGACCGTCTAAAGGGCGAGCGCGGTTCCGTTCGTGGGCTCATGGGTTCAAGTCCAGGCGGTGGAAAGCGCGGACCGCCGACCCGAGCCGGGCCACGCTACTCTCGTGCAGGTGGCTGACGATGGCCTCTGTCGTCCACCAGGTGCGCCCACCCCCGCTGCCCACCTGTGACAACCGAAAATTCCCACCCGACAGTCTCAAGGAGCCCCAGCGACAGCCGCTGAGCCGGAGGCGTCTGCTCACCTGTTGCCACGTTAGATGGCTGGCACTGCTTCCTTCCATCTATTGCGGCCAGCCCATCCCGGGCCCGCCCGGAGCCCAGCGTTGGCTCGCATCATGTGGCCCGTCACGTTGGTTCGCTCTTCGGTCTTTAGCGTGTGCGGTTCCCGAGTATGAGCCTCCGGCTGGGAGGTTCCCTTGGGCCCTGTTCCCTCCCAGCCCCATTCCCTCCACAGCACCTGGCACATGCCAGAGGGGAGAGTGCCCTTATGAGATGGGACCCCAGACGCAAGGATGCCTCCTCTGCCCTAAGTCCAGAAGAAAGAGCCACTACCTGAGGCTGGCTCGCCGGCAGGTCGTCTGGGTAAGCAGCCCTTCCAAGAAGGCCCCCAGAGCGTGTATTAACTTTTTTATTTCCCTAGGTGTCTAATATCTGGACTGATGCCTAGTAGGTGCTGGCACACAGCAGACAATGGATATTTAATGAACGTTGAATAAGAGAGTAATTAGACGCCAGAATAGGACCCTCCCCACCCTCTCTCTTAATGCATGTATCCTTGCGTGTCAGCGCCACCATCACTTTCCTGAGCTGCCCAGATTAGGTCCCATCCCCCACTTTACGTCATTAGAACACCCTATACTTTTTTTTTTCACAACCTCGTTGTAATCTGTGATGACTTATTTTGTGAAACTGTTTAATATCTGTCTTCAGAACTGGGAGGGCTGACATTTTATGTATTTTTTTCCCTGTTGTCCCAGCCTCCCAGCTGACCTGCCAGCTGAAGGAAGTCACACAAGTAACTACCAGCAAGGCCAACAGAAAAACTGCCCAGCTGAGCCTCAACCCAGATTGCAGAATTGGGAACAAATCAAATCGTTGTTATTTAAACCACTACATTTTGGGGAGGTTTGTTGGGCAGTTTCAGATAATGAACACGCACCTGCCCTCCCCCATGGCCACAGTCTGCCAACACCAGGTGGCAGCCACTATCTTCCCGTGGAACACACTAACCTAAATCTTCCCTGCTCTCTGTTGTCTTATTTTCCTTATAGTAGAGAAAATATTCTATATCTGCACTGTAAAATTGGTTCAAATTTAATAACATAAAACATCCTGGTTCCTCAGGCACAGCAGCCATATTTCAAGTGCTCAGTAGCCACATGTGACCAATAGCTACCTATCAGACAGCACAGTGCAGATCACCACACACAGTTGTACAAAGCCCTGGGGACTACATTGCTCTAAGATGTAGTGGGTGTGATGGTTACTAACCCAGCGTCCATACCCTCCCTGTCCTTCCAGACAGAAAATCCTGATTCCTTCCAGGTGTTTATGCTCTGCTCATCCTCAGCCCTCCCAGTCCTCTACCTGCTACCCTATACAGCTCAGGAGAAACTGACTTCATCTTCGTTTCTGGATCTGACCAGTCAAAACTAATGTTAGCTTCTGTGCTTCTTCACAGTGACTAGGTCAGAAACCCAGACTCATTATTCAGGGCATAAAAATACCCTGGGGCGCAAGAGAGGGTGAATGATTTAAATTGGCCCTGTCAAGTTGAAGGAAAGGACTTCATTCTATGGCTGTAAGAGAGACGCACTCTTCCAGACTGAGTGTGAATTAGGAAGCCTGTTGCTTTAATTGCTGCTGGCAGCTGTTTCAGAACTGTTAGAAGAACCAGTTGAGGGTGCAGCCAGCTTTGTCAGGAAGAAATTAGATGATGAAAGTGTTTCCCCTAAGGGATTGCCGCCAGGCAAATTCACTCTGGATTCCCTGAGACTGAATAGCAACAACCGAAAGTTAGGGGTAAAAGGGTTTATACCAAGCTTTAGTCTCATGGTGGCAAGTTGAGTGCTGGAATCACATCTGCCTCTGGGGCAGTCTGCATGCAGCAAGCCAGTCTCTGTCTCTGCCTTCAGGCTGAGCACTTTATTATATTAACACCAATAATAATGGTTCCCATGGTACTCATTAGCCTAGCAGTAGGCCAGTTACATCATCAACTAGTTTAGGGTCTGGTGAGGATCCTGGCCATAGGAACTTTAATTTTCCCTGCAAAAGATAACAAATCTTATATTGTTTAGGCCACTGCTGTTGGATTTTCTGTTACGTGTAACCAAAGCCAACTACCATGACTATCAAAAAAATGGAAGAATAACAAGGAACAGAGAGGTGATTATAAAGCTGACAAATTGATGTAAGTTGACTGACCACTTTGTAACACACCCTTTTGCCTGAAAGTAATTGTGTGAGTCTCTCCTCTACACCTAAAGTAATCAAATAAATAAATGATGTAACTCATACAGCAGGTGTCCAAGGGATAGGAAACCTTTTCTTACAAAGGATAGTTTTATGGACAGTCTGCACTTCAGGGCCTCTAGGAAAGGACCTCCCTGCAAGGACGTTCATGGTGTGGACTGGAATTGGAAATGCACTGTGTGCTCCAACATGCACAGCCCTCCGTCCTCTGTCACTGCCCTGTCCCCTGTGCTTTGCTCAGTGAGGAGCTTGGAGAGGATGCTATCTGATGTAATGAATTCAGAAGCCATCAGAGACTGAGCACATTTCAGGGGCTGCATCTGGGTCCTTGACTGTGTGAGTGACATTCTTTCTGGCTGTGCATCTGCATTGTTCTTGTCTTGCTGCCCCACAGTTGAATCTGCTTAGTTTCAGCTCCCCTCAAAATGCTGGTTTTCAAGTAGCCATCCTGGGCTTTCTGTGCTGTGCATACTCCACACATTCAGCCAACAAGTAGCTATTAAACACCTGCATGTCCGGACTGCTCAGCATCTGCCCTCGTGGCTGATGCTTCTGCTTTTCTGGTTTCCCTGTTCCATACAGAGGGACTCTGATGAGCCCACTCATCTCTGTGCATCAGGCTGTGGCCTACATCTTTAGTGACATGAGAGTAACAGGCCATGCCATGGAGTTTTTGACTTTCTTTGGGGAGAGTTGTTATAAATTCTTTTTATTTCAGGGAGTCCCTGTGTTAACATTTCCATCAGGCTGCAGATCCTCTAGGGAGAAGCAGAAACTGTAAGAATTAAAAGCCTATTCAACCCATGGAACAGAATCAGGTCTTACGTTCTTGAGCCCAAACCAAAACCACACCCACCTGCTTTTGTGTGACTTAATTCAGCTCTCAGAATGATTTATATTTTATTTATACAGAGGATGTGGGAGTCTGTGGCCAAGAACGTGGGTTTTGATTTGAATTTTTTCAAGCTCTCACTTTGACTCTTGTGAGTAGCAGCCTCTACTACTTGAGTTCTTTCCTTGCTGTGTCTGAAAAATCCACAAGCTGTCTGCAAAAGTGGAGCTCACCCCTAGAAACAGCATAAAGGAATGAAGGAGTAAGCAAGAGAAAATGAATTTTCTCCTCTTGGAACAGGTGCCCAATGTTAACAAATGTGCAACCGCACGTACCATTTCATTTTAACTGCCACTTTTACAATTCTTTGCAAGCATCATAACCTATATGCAATCAGATCATTGGTGGTTATACATGTACTTGTTTAGGCCTTACAGGAGACATCAATGGAGGTGAATACAAAGGACATATATATATATAAAATAATTCAGTGTGTGACAAAGCCATTTCCAATCTATGGGAAAAGAATGGATTGTTCAATAAATTCTGTGGGAATAAGCCACTAAATGGTAGGAAAATAGGCTTCACATTTTGTACCAACATAAATTCCAGATGGATAAAATATGATCATGCAGAAATCAAAAACATAATAGCATTAAGAGAAAATAGTGGCAAATATAAAATCTTAAGGGTAGTGAATGTCCAGGCATTGTGGAGGATAGCCAACTAATACAAGTAATACACATCTGCATAGAGAAAAGCGAAAAATAAGAATACCCTTCATGAAAAAAATTACACCAATAATTTTAAATAGCACAAAGGGAACATGTTTTGTCCCTTGAATTGAAAAATACCCAGGTTTGGCAATGTTTGGGAAAGGAATGTGCTTATAAATGGTCTGTGGAAAGGTAAATGGTTGCAACTTCTCTAGAGGGCATCTTGTCATTTGTATTAGCACCATATTTGTCTACACCATGAACCTGCAATTACATCTCTAGGGTTTGAAGGATGTGTGCAATGTGTTCATTGCAATTTTGCTTAAAATAGCAGAAAGATTGGAAGCAACAGATATACAATAAAGCATTAAGTTATGGTGCATGCATACACTGGGATATTATGTAGTTATTTAAATGCTATTGCAGGATTCTGAGGTGGAAAAGTATCTGTGATATATTATATTAGTTTTCTTTTGTTATGTAACAAATTACCACAACTTCAGTGGCTTCAAACAACACCCTACAGTTGTATAGGTCAGAAATCTGGGTATGGCCGACTGGACTCTCAGTCAGGGTCTCACAAAGCTGAAATCAAGGAATGGGCGGGGCTCAGATCTCATTTGGAGCTCGTTTTAGCTCCTGCAATTCTGACAGAATCCAGTTCTTTGCTGTTCCTTCATCCCCAAAGCTAGCAATGGAGAATCTCCCTGCTTTCAGGTCCCTCTCATGCCTTCAACCTTCCCAGCATCAGGAAATGCCCATTCCCTTTACAGGGGCAACTACTGGGTGACACCCTGCATGATCTCCCTATCTTAAGGGCAACTATTTGGTAAGTTTAATCACATCTACAAACTCTTCACAGCATCACCTACATGGGTGTTTGACTAACTGGGAGAAAGCATAAAACAGGAGAAAGGAAATCTTAGGAACCATGGTAGAATTTTGCCCACCATGATTATTAAGTAAAAAAGAGCAAATTACAAAAATACATAGAAAGTTCCTATTTCTTATAACAAAATGCCAAACATGGCCAGAATAGTAAGAATCAGTAACAAAAGTATTCCTGTAACAGAGCCAAAGAAACAGATTCCACACTGAGTTTGGGAGGTGTCAAACCTCCTCTGTCTCAGTTTCTCCATCTGTAAAGGGGTGAATTGACTGAGGTGTACTGCAGAATGCGCAGAACATGCCAGGCACCTGGTGAGCACCCAGTAAACATGACTGTTGTGGTTATATTTTTTCATGTAGTCTGGAAAAACTTGAAGCTAAGCTATTAATAGTGTTTATCCCAGAGTAGTGAGTGGGACTCTGTGATTTTTAAATTCTCTATATGTGTTAAATATATAATTGTATAATAAAAATAAATTTCTTGAACAAGTATGAGTTTCTGTAAACAATAGGTTACTATCAGTTGAAATGCCTTCCCTTTAGTTATACTTCGATGTGCACAGAACTAGACCCATGTCTCTTGCATTATTAGAAATATGAAGCCTCATAGCTTTGCCAAATGCTGGCAGATTCACTGTCTCATTTGGCAGTAATGAGAATCTCTGGGATGAGCATCCTCGTGCTGAAAAGTTCAGACCAGGGGATGCTGAGCCATCACCACAGCAGTGGGAGTCAAAGGCCTGCTCTCTTGCCAGAAGCTCAAAGGGAAAAATCATTTAGTTCTGGTTGACTTCCTCATGGTCATTATGTGATGCCAGAAAGAGCTAGTTACTTTCAGACCCGTCGCTTTTTTTGTACTTGGCCACTTTCGAGTGCTGTCAATGAAAGCCAGGAAAAGGAAACAACCAGGGTTCTTAAACCGCAGTTCCACATGTATCTCTTCTTTTTTATGAAGATTTCTCTCTCCACAACACACACACCCCTTTGTAGTTCTCAGAACTATGGGGAGGAATAATGGTGTAAAGATTGAAAGCTCTGGTAGAAGCAAAGGAGGGTGCTTATTGTCATGAAGACAAAAAAAAGATGTCAAGTGTTGATGTTTATCACAGAGCCATCTCTAAAGCCCATGGTGTTCTCCCTTGAAAACACATCACTTTTGTATGGTGTAGATAGTAATATTTCACTTTCCCTGGTGCTAGGAACTAGAGAACTAGTCTCAGCAAACACTACAATCACAGGAAAAACAGATTTTGCTTTATATGTATTTTAAGACCCTTATGTTAGAAGCATCTGGAGAAATATCCTTAAGAGATTCCTACAAATTTTTCTGTTCTAACCCCTCCATAATTATTTCTACATCATTCAGTTTGTCTTTTTACCCTTTTATATTACATTCCTGGGAGAATAAAAAAATGATCAAAATGAGCTAATTAACTTTGATACTGTTTATAGCTTTTCTCATTTTATACATGGGTAAGCTGAAGCAATCTGGGTAAAGTAATGGGCCCCGAAAGATAGGTCAGAATATCTTACCTTATGGAACAGGTGTTTTCCAGAAAAATGAAATAAAAGTGAATTTCAGCCTAGCAAATCCTATTGTAGTGCTGACTTACGTTAAAAAATCAGGAATGCATTCTCGCATGATTAAGATCTCAACAGTGCAAATTCAGTGATTTTATGTAATTCAACAAACATCTTTCTCAATGCATGACATTGTCCCAGGTAAGCAGTGGTTAGAGCCATGAGTGAGCTCAGGAGCCTGTTGAGGGAGAGGGGCAGGATGCTCTGTCATTTAAAAACGGCATGGAATCATTTCAGAAGGGACAAAGTGGCAGTGGGGAACAGTCCCAGATAAGGCCATTGGAGCTGTCATATGCAGCTGTGGTTGAAATGGCCTCTGTTGGGTTGAATAGTTGCCCAGGCAAGGCTGTGGCAGCACTTTAGTCCCTGGGACCTGTCATCTCTTAGTGACCACCATTATATTTCAGGGTGGTGATGCACCTAGTTAACAGGCTGCATTACCAGCTGCCCTGGAGGGAAGATGTGGTCGAGTGCATGGTAAGATAAAGGCACAAGGGCTGTGTGAAATTCTGCAAGCCCTGAAAATGAAAAGCATTTGGGGTGCACCGTTTTGCCCTTTGTTCCTACTGCCTGGGATGTGAATGTGATGGGTGGGGCTTCAGCAGTCTTCCTGCATCTTGAGGCCATTTTGAGAATAGAGGCCAAACAGAAAGATGCCACAGAAAAAAGAAGCCTGGGTTCCTGGTGACTCTATAGCCAGGAAATAAAATTCAATTTCTTCTAAAAATAGGACTACAGATCAATATTATAAAGTAATTGAAGTGAGCCTTCAACCACTGTGGTGAACTGGAGAGCTCAGGTCCCACTGTTTAATCAAACATGGAGGCCACTAGCTGAGGGGTTCTGATGCTTTGGTGTTTAGTGATTAAACAGGAACCTGTAGATGCCTCAGGTTAAGAAATCAAAACCTAAGGATACCCAAGCACAAGCAGCCAACCAGGATTTCCACTAATAGCCAGTGAATAACCTCCTTAATTTGCTTCCACTTTTTCTATGTAAAAGTCTCTCCCTTGGTCCTGTGGGTGGGGAGCCCCTCAACACTTTAGATTGGGTACTGTCCAAATGGAATCAACTTTTGCTCAAATAAAATTTTTTAACATGCCACAGTTAATCTTTTTAGCACATCTAAAGAGGGCAGCTGTTTCATATCTTGGATCAACTGTGGGAATGATGGCTTAATATTGTGAGATACCTAATTTTTCAAGAGATCAGAGAAATCCCTGGTGCTGGAACCCGTGGGAGTAGACGCTGGCCACCCTGTCCGCATGGAAGTCCACCCATGGCCTCTTCTGGTCCCTGTGGGAGGGAATCTGCAATCATCCCATGGAAGGCGACCGCAGCCCTTGGTCCCCATGGGAGCGGCCCTCAATCACTTCTAGTCTGTGACTTGTGGCCGACTCTTGTCCCAGTGGGAGGGGATCTGTGGCCTCCCTTGATGGGAAGGCACCCAAAATCACCTCTGGTGCTGGTCCGCATGAGGGCAGACCCCAGCCATGCCTGGTGCCCCGTAGAAGCCGACTAGAGGCCACCCTGGACCTCTGGGAGTCCAGCCATGGTGTCTTCTGGGTCCCACGAGAGGGAACCTGTGATGCCGGTCGCGGCCGCGCAGCGCCCAGTCCCGTCCTGTCCCAGAAGAGCGGCCTCGCGCCCCTCCCCTCCTGGACTTCGGTGCCCGAGCCCGGGAGTGCGGGCGCGGCCTCGGGAGCGGCGGGCGGGACTGACCGAGCGCCGCCGCTCGGTACCCCGGGTCCGCGTCCCGTCCCTGCCCCTGCGCTCCCGCCCCGGCCTGGTTCGCGGCGGGCTGGTCGATGGCAGGGCGGTGGCATGCGGCTCCTGTTCCTGGCGGTTCTGCGCTCACACACGGGCAACGCGGTCACCGCCGAGCGCGTCCGGTAGGTGCGGCCGGCCCGAGCATCGGCGGCGCAGCCGGGCGGGGTCGGGGCGGCGCGGACGTGCGGCTGCTCTGCGGGCCTCCCCGCCGCGGCCCAACGGCCTGCGGCTGGCTGGGGTCTGCGCGAGCGCGGAGAGGGAGGGCCGCGGGAGCGCGGGCCGCGGGGGCGCGGGAGCGCGGAGGCCGGCTGCGCGCCGGGTGGTCCTGCGCCCTAAGGCCTGCCTGGAGGGGCCTTATGAGAGAGCCGGCGGTGGGCGGCAGCGGGACGGCACTGCGGGGGCTGCTCAGGACGTCTTCACGGATGCTTTCTCGTTTTGGAAACCGCCCTGGGTTTGGGGATACGGCCACGGAAAACAAAGTCGAGTCTTCGTGGTGCTTATGTTTCGGTGGGGACGGAGGAGGTAGCGCACAATCACACGGCTGCAGACGTATTGTATATATATATCGTATAATAGGGCTAAGGACTGCGTGTGCGCGCGTGCACCACTACAGGCAGGATGCTGGCGGAGGCCCTGTGCCAGGCGACAGGTGACGTTACGCAGGAAGTGGAGTGAGAAGAAGGGGTCCCTTGAAGCGCTTTGGCGGGCGGGGGAATAGGATCTGCTGGCAGAGGGTCCAGGGAGGCACAGCCCGCCGTGTCCTTGGGGTCCGCGGTGGGCCCTGCCGTGCAGGGGACCCTTCTCCCCTCGCAGCATGCCCGGCCCATCTTCCATCTTCCTTTCGGGTTCCCTTCCTAACTGACCGTTTTCTGCAGTGATCTTGTTTTATAAGTTTGCTTGTGTACTTTTTTCTCCCCACTGGACTGTCTGCCCCTTAGGACATGGAGAGGGTGGTTTGTGCCTGAAGCTTAAGAGGAACTCTTTTTTCTTTTTCTTTAACAAACTGCCTTGCTGCATGAAATTTCTCAATTTGCTTCCACTCTGTGGGCCTGCTTCCCCCTCACTAAAATAAGCAACTGGGGCTAAGCCAAGTTGGAACATTTAATGTCCCTTCCCACTCAGAAATGTTCCAGTTGTCCTAAGGATGGTAAGTGAAAATGACCCACGCAGGAGACTGTTTTGTGACGTGGACAACTAGTATTTCATTGTTCAGGTTTCTGTCTCCAGTGACACCGCCTTCCCTGACCAGAGGTGCAGCGGGGAAAGCTCTGTGCTCTCCACTCAGGAAGGGCGGTGGGGGAGGTGGGGTGAACGCTTCAGAAGTCAGCAGGAGTAAAGGAGGGGCGACCAGCGCCGCAGGTTCAGGGCAGAGCTTTCTGAGGGGCGTGACATTTAAGGGACCCTGTGACCAAAGGAGGCAGCTATCTGGAGATCTCAAGGATGGTCCCAGGAAGTGGGAGAGCAGGTACATAGGTCCTTTGGTAGAGCAAGGGTGCCATGCTTGAGAAATGGAGACAGACATGCTCCCTGGAATATAGGGAGTTTGGGGGCCAGAGGTGGGAAAGGAGGTCAGAGAGAGCTGCCAGGGGCAGCGGAACAGGTGTTCCTGGTGGGGGACAGTTTGTGCTCAAGAAGCTTGAGAAAGTCTCTGTTATTTAACATTTTGCTCCTGACTTGAACTACACCCATGAGCCCAAATATTCCATAGGTCACACTCACAGCTGCCCTAAGGGTCAGTGGGGAGCCGGGCCGGCGGGCTATGAAGAGGCTGACCTCAGCTGGGGTGCAGACCTTAGGTTATTTGGTTCTTGTTTTCTTGGCTTTGCACCAAGCACAGTGAAGGTTGCTCTTTGAGCTTCGGCCTCTCCATTCAGAGGCAGCTTTTCTGTCCCCTCCACTCAGGAAGTATTGCTGGGGAAGAAAGAGGAAAAAGCAGAAGTTACTGGAAGCTGTGGATGATCTTGTGAAAACCAAGGTCCTTGAAGAAATGCTGCTAGGGGTCATGGGAGGGGGCAGAGGTTCCTATGGGGTGGACTCCTGAGCGCCCGAGGAGCTCCTCACACTTCCTCTGTGATCTCAAGTGACCCTGGGCAGTGGGAGGGGGAGCCCCCCAAATGGAAAAGATAAGGGTTCCCTCCAATCACACTAGTGGGGGATGTCTGCAATGAGACTGGATTTTGAAAAAGGTAGAAATG